TGATGGCGCCGGCCTGTCAGGACAAAAGATTACCTTCCGGGCCATCTAAGGCCATCTCGATGTTATCCAAAGTCAAAAAACGTGAATGCATCAGCGGCTTCAGAAGGCAGCCAAACCTCGAGCCTTCTTCATGATGGGCTCCCAGTCAGGGTCCGTCATGTCTGCCACCAGCACCTCGCCCTCGTTGAACTCGGCCATCTGGTCGATGCTGGTCAAAATATTCACCTTGCCACTGCCGATTCGCTTGCCCACAGCACGGCCCTCTGCGACGGTCTCTCCACCCTTCTCCAGCATCTTGTACTCCTCAATGACGCCCACCTTCTTCTGAGAGGCAACTGTCTCCGGACGAGCCTGCACAATGTACAGCTTGCCATCATCTCCGTCCCGGGCCCACTCGATATCCATGGGCCGTCCATAGTGCTTCTCGATCTTCACAGCCATCTCCGACAAGGCCGTGACCTCCTCGTCTGTCGCCGACCAGCTTCCTCTCTCCTCGCTGCTGGTGTCGATGGTCTCTGAGCCGCCGCCCGCTTTGTACACCATCTTCACGAGCTTGGAGCCCATGGTGCGCGAGATGATGGACTTCTTGCCCTCAGCAAGGGTTGGCTTGAAGACATACCACTCATCGGGGTTCACGGTGCCACCGACAACAGTTTCACCCAGTCCGTACGCAGAAGTCACGAAGACCACATCCTTGAAGCCGCTCTCCGTGTCCAAGGAGAACATGACTCCGGCGGATCCCGTCTCACTGCGCACCATCTTCTGGCAAGTGGCGCACAGCTGCACCTTCTCGTGCTCAAAACCGCGGTCGTGGCGGTACGAGATTGCTCGGTCCGTGAACAGGGAAGCGAACACAAGGTGCACCTTCTCCTTCATGTCGGCATAGCCCATGACGTTCAGGTAAGTCTCCTGCTGGCCAGCAAAGGAGGCATCGGGCAAGTCCTCGGCGGTCGCAGAGGATCGCACGGCAAAGGTGAACTTCTCATCGCCACCGCTGACGCGCTCCCACTCTGACTTCAGCTCCTCCTCAAAGTTGGGTTGAAAGGGTGTGTCCATGATCTTGTCACGGATCTCTTTGCCCACCTTCATCAACTTGTCCACATCCTCGTAGATGGATTCGTCCGACAGCTTGTCGTTAATGAACTCGTTGATGCCTCCCTTGTCCAAGAACTCCTTGTAGGCATGGGCAGTGGTGCTGAAACCGCCCGGCACAGGCACTCCCACATCCGAGAGCTGCGAGATCATCTCACCCAGAGAGGCACTCTTTCCACCGACCTTCT